AAACAAAGGAGCGACCAAGTGCCAAAGCGCCAAAGGCCCGAAAGAAGGGTAAGGGGGGGAAAGCCTGAAAAAAAAACAGAAGTAAATTAACTAAAAATAGAGCAGAGAGAAGTCATATCTACTCAATATCAACACGATGAGATCTTCTGCCCCTCCTGCGTTCCAAATATCTCAAGGCGGACATTCGAAGAAATGCCTCGTATGCCCTTTTCTCCTCCCCTGAGAGGTATTGTCGAATAGGAGGCAATTTGCTTTCGGTGGGCACCGCACACTGAACAACGGTGGGCTCCGCTCCGAGCGAGACAGCAACAGCGCATTCAAGTTTATTCGAGATTATGGGGGGCAGTACTCTGTCAGCGTGCTGGTTATTGTCGTCTTTGCTGTCGCGCGTCGTGCCGGTGGTCGTACTGCTATTTTGGTATGTTAAGGTGCTTAACATACTGCCACGCGGTGGACCACCATGGGAGGAGTCTTGCGATGAACGGCTCACTGTCATCTTGGACAGTGGAGTGTTTAAGGAACGTGTCAGCTTCTGCTCATTCACGGGCTGCTGCGACAAAATTTTTGCCGAAGTTGGGGCCCATAGTGGTGGAATTAGTTTGGTCGAGGCCGTTGAAGTGCCGGAGACTGGCAAACGCGGTAAAACATGCGCATTGCCTTGCGAAAGCTTATTCAGCCCGCTGGAGAGGTCCTGCCGCTCAGCATTCCCCGATGGATCGCCACCGTGAAGCACACCAAGCCCGATGAGGTCAAGCGAATTGTTCAGAGTGTTGACCGTTCGGTTGAAGCGGTCAACGTACTCCCGCACTGCCGGGCTATCCGCCACGTCCTCCGCGTTCACCCAGAGCTCGTCACCCTCGGCATCGCCCACCATGCGCACCAGGAGTTGGCGGGGCCCATGCGGGGAGTACTTCTCACCAAAGACCACCTCAACCTCTCTAGGTCCACGTACAACAGAAGCGACGTTCTCAGGCAACATCATACTCTTAACACGCAGCATCCATCGGGCATATTCCCCAATCAGCTCATTTCGTTCCGCCGTCTCACGCGAAAAAAGCAATTCTATTTCGGCGCTCCTCTGCATGTACACCAGGTCCTCATCAGAGATGTTAGTCGCACCCACGGTTGCATAATGGTGCCTTCTTCCTTGAATACGCAGAGGACTCTCCACATCTGTCACGTTTTCCTCGGAGTAGCCTGCGTCCATGAGGAGCGGAGCCGCAAGGGAACCTAACAGCGGTGCATCGGAGAAGGAAACATCTATGATGATATTCTCACCGCTGCCTGGGCCGAGAAGGAGCGCGTTCTCCAGGCGTTCGAGCATAAGAGACGCCCCTTCCCAGCCCATAAGTCGCAGCAAGTCAAACATTGTCTGCCCTTCGTAGTTGACCGCGGTGGCGTCCGCCCCGTTACGCAGGAGTTGCTCTATAACGTCCGCGTGCCCACAAATGGCGGCACAATGAAGTGGAACTGCCCCATTATGGTTCACCGCATCCACTTCAGCCCCGGCAAGGAGAAGCTGTGTCACAGCAGGCATGCTACCCAGTGATGCGGCCCAGTGAAGCGCCGTGTTGCCGCAGGAATCTCTCACGTCAATGTCCTCGCACAAATCCATCCAGCGAAGAAGCGGCGCCTCGTCCCCATTTTTTATTGCGTTCACCACATGCCGCATCTGCTCATCGGCGTAAAACTTATCTTCTGCGGTCCCACGCTTCCACACAATGGTTTTAGGGCGTGCAGGGTCGTCGGAAGACATAACGAGCTTGCTAAGTTGACCACACACACCCTCGCCAACCACAACCTTGGGAAAGCAAAGGAGAGGCAGAAGAGGTGAATACCGCGGCCGAAAATGGGCACCGGAGAGAAAGCGGTGCCTCACTTTACGGCAGGGCCACCCGACCACAAACAAAGGCCTTCGAAGGGAGGAAGAGCACGCGCAGGGGCACATAAAACACATTCATCCCACCCCACCCCTCCCTCCCTGCAGCAAGAGAAGCAAAAGTAAAAGCAAAAAAAAAAAAAACAACAACAACAACAGACGCACAAAATCATATCATTGTAAGCTTAAAGCTGCTCAACATTTACACATCGCCCTCGCCAGCGCCAGCCCTTTTTTATTTTTATTTTTCTCTTGTCCTCTCCATCCCCCCTCCGGCCATCAGGGTCGGGATCACTTTCGTGGATTTACGCGAACATTGCGGTCGTGTAGTCCCCGAGCAGCTGTCCTAAAGGCAAGGCTTTCACCAAAGGAGGTCTGCATTGTACGCTCGATCGACGTCTCCGAAATTGTGATATAGCAGGGAAAACAGGTCCCACTCTCGCCCGTCTTTGCACTCTCTTCGCGAGCTTCAGGCAACGTCCAGCCGTCCGCTCTGCCTTGGACGAGTGTGGCCAGAACTGTGCGAATCGCACGCGCTTGCGAGAACACGCGCCCCCTCCTGCCCGGCGCGGGAAGAGCGGTGCCTGTTGCATCCTTCTCGCATACAAGGTAAGGGATATGAAACACGTAGTGGAAAGGCCGACAATCGATCAGCAGACTATCAGGCCAGTGACTCGTAAAGAATTTCTGCAGCTTCTCTACCGCCCCCGGGTACTGTGAACTACCAAACCCGCAAGTGTCCTGCAGGCGTGAAACGTCAATGGAGACATCGAGTCCCTCCCTGTGTGTTCCGCGCCATTCAGCCGGAGTCCCTATAAAACGCATCATGCCCTCATCAAGAACTAACACACGATCGCCAAGCATCTCAACATCATCGGGGCTCCTTGAGGAGAAGACGGTCGTGGTACCTTGCGGCGCCGACTGAATCGCCGCCCAAACGTGTCTTCTGGAGCACGGATCAAGCGACTCAGTGACGTCGTCCAGTACTAGGAGCGGAGGGTAACCGACGAGGGCCGCCGCCAAACCCACGCGCCGTTGAACCGTCGCATTGAGCATCCGCATGGCAACATGCATGGAGGACCAAATACCCAAGGCCCGTATTAGGTAAATCAGGTGCTGCTTACGCCCCAGGTCGCGTTTGAGCAGCCGGAGGTCGGCCATGATATTGAGAAAGAGGTACGGTGTGAGGTTGCTGTGTCGCAAAATTAACGCCTCTGTCGCGTACCCAATAGCGGCACTCGCAGTGAGTTTAGCGGCAACCTGGCGTGTGGTACAGCGGCCACGGAGAAACACATCACCATGGGAGGGGAGCACTTCGCCTGAGAGACAGCGCAAAAGCGTCGTTTTGCCGCTCCCGTTAATCCCAACCACAACGAGGACCTCGCTCCGTAGGCTGAAGGTCACGTTTTGCAGGGCGTAGACGTCGTGGCAGAGCTTCCAAAGCGTTGAAGCGCGAACATCCTCCACCGCAGACTTCTTCTCCCGTTCCACCGCGACGGAAGCGTCCTCGTTTGCAAGCAGCCGCGATGGATCCTCCCAGCGATGCAGCGACTCGTCGCCGCAAACTTCGTTGCAGTCGTTGTGGCACGGGCATAAGAGACGGACGGCTTTGCGTCCCAGCTTATGGAGCAGCGGACGCAGCTTGTCTCGGAGAAACACGCACACACTCACCGCAGCAAATGACTCGTAGAGCAGCATCAGTACGAAGGTGAACGTGAAAAACATAAAAGGCTGCAGGCGAATCAACACCTGCAAGTCCTCGTCGAAGGTCCTGGACGAAAGGTAGTTCATCAACGACTCCCCAAGATTGTAGAGTGGAAGGAATCGCATCAGGACGGAAAACTTTTCATTCCACGACTTTGCCGCCCATGTCACGGGGTTCTCCGGTAAGAAGCGCACGGTGGAGGACGAAATCAGGAAGGCAAAGCCGGTGAAAATCGTAAATGCCGTGACGAAGGTCTGGGCAGCAATGGCGTTGTTGAAGCACCTGCTCAGGACGTAGGAGAGCATAATGGTGCTGCAGCCAAACACAAGCATGGCGCCCATAATGGCAAAGAAACCACCCACACCCACGCCGCGTGAAATGTCACCAAAAGCAATAAATAAGGCAGTAATAAGCACCAAAATAAAAAAAGTCACAAAGTCGTACGTGAAATTTGCCAGCCAGAACGCGGCCGGACGAAGAGAAGAGCTATACAGCACCTGAAGAAGCCCACTATGACGCTGCTCAACAAGCGCCGCCACCATTCGACTGCCGTAAAACGCAAAGGGCAGCAGCATCAAAAGTGTCCCCATCACATCCACCGCGATGGACGGGAATGTGTGATTTGCTTCACCACCAAACCCCAACTCGCCCACCACTCCAATGGAGGCACTAATAACTCCGGCGGTTTCGTTACGCGCCGCCCAAAGTCTCAGCATTCCCAATATCTCCAGGTGCGCCGGTAGACTTAACGGATACGAGGTGTTGCATAGCACAACGTCCGCCACCCAAGGGAAGAGTGACGGCCATGCCGTGCTGTTCAACACACGTACGATTGGTCCTTGCAATGCAAAGGCACCAAAGGCAAACGCGTCCATTGACGCCCGAGACTCCATCAGGAAATGGTCCAAGCCCACACTGCTGTGCTCTATCGGAGACAGGGAAGTAACATTTACCAGTGAAAACTTTGACTGCGTGTTGGGTATGCTAATCGACGACAACTGCCCTGCGATGGATTCATAGGGCGACCCTGAGGCGTTCACATCAATGTAAAAGATAGTGCTGGGATCAGAAGATAACTGCCAGTTAAAAAGAGAAGCCGCCCCCAGCCTATCTGAATCAAACCGTTTGCCCAAAGACGCCGTCCCGACCAAGAGCGAAAGTAGAGGCACCAGCATCACTAGGAGTCCGTAGTGCGTACCCAAAAAGGCCTCAAATGCACGATAACCAAACAAAGTCAAGTATGTTCGAATAAAGCTGCGCCGTCCACGCGACGCACGTTCCTCAGTGGAGCCCACCCTGCTTCTCTCCACGGCACCTTCGCCAGCTACCTCGTTCTCGGTTGACGATGGCAGCATGACGTAGTCGCCATTCCAGTCGGCAACTTCCGTCGGCGGGGTATTGGCCCCACCAGATTCACGAAGTTGCAGCACGCGCGTTAAGCGGACAAAGGACTCACTCAAGCGGGCATCTGAAACTGTAATGTTCGTGATGGCCCCGGATTCCCGCGCCGACCTCAATTCCGTCAGAAGGACCGGTAATGTCTGAATGGCGACGCTTTCCACCACCTGAAAAGAGATTTCACGGCCAACGTTACTTACGACTATTGCATCTGGAGCCAGGGAGCGAACGTGATTTAACATGGCCGAGATGTCGGTATTTTCGGCACGGCAGACGGTCACGACCCAGCCGCCACGCAGTTTCCATCGAATGTGATCGGGTGTCCCAGCAAGGGCGAGGCCGCCGTCGAACAGCACGGTGATGTGCTCGGCAAAGACCCCCACGTCCTCTACGTCACTGGTGGAGACGACGATGCATCGCCCCTTTGCATTCTGAGAGAGCAAATGCCAAATCTCATGCCGCGATGAAACATCGGTGAAGGCGGTCGGTTCATCGAAAAACAGGGTGCGAGATCCACCGGCGAAGGCCATGGCAACAGAGAGCTTGCGGGCCACCCCCGTTGTCAGGCGCACGGCCCTTTCCTGACGCACGTCCGTTAGTTGAAGGGCAGAGACGAGGATGTCTTCCTCCACACCCGCCTCGACAGGGTCTGAAATAAACCCCTTGAGTAGCTGAATGAGACGAATATTCTCAGCGACAGTTAAGTGGTCCCAAAACACGCTTCTATAAAGACAGACGCCAATATCGTCACGCTGACAGGACCAAATGTTTTTGCCGTCGATCCGTACCTCACCTGCAGGAAGGTCGCTGCTTCCCATCAGTGTTTCCAGCAGACGACTCTTCCCAGAAACGGATCCACCCACGATGCAGTTAAGACGATTTTGATAAAAATCGGCACGATGCACGCGCAGCCACCGACCGTGTCCCACAGCGGTGTGGCAGAGATGACGGACCGTGATGGCTGCATGCCAACCACTTGGAACCGGTAGGGACACATGCGTCTCGGGGGCGGCGGCAGCACCTTGCGCCGTTGAAGACTCGGCCGGGGCTCCTGCCTCTTGAGTTGTTGAGACCGCGCGAAGAGGTGGCCCCGCTCCCTCTGAAAGGCTATTTACATCAATAAGCTGACGTCCCTCGGCTGCATCACCAGCGGGTGTGCCATGGACTCCAGCAATATTAAACTCCTGCTTCGACCGCCGTGCGCCGCCCCCGTCGTGTGTCTCTCCGTCATGTTGCCTGACACGCGTCAGCGCAACCCCGGACGTCATCTCCTCCCCCTCGTAATATCGAACAATGTGACGACTTCTTTGCTCAAGGTAATCCTCCAGCCTACCCACGCAAGATGCACAGCGTCTAAGGAGTCGCTCCAGAGCCGAGTTTGGAATGAATAGATACTCCAGCAAAGCTGCTAGGAGTCCGTACATCGCCGTCAGCCCAAAGAGTATCCACAAGGCCCGCTGAAACGTGCCAGGCTGTGTAGGATGTCTCTGGCCCACCTGGGCGGCTTTGGCGTACTGGGCGATTGCCTTGGCGAGGGCCGCAGGCGGAAGGAGCATAGACGCCCCCGCGAGTTCTGTTGGTCGGCCGTCCACAAGAGCAGGAGCGACAGACAGAAGGAGAATAAACGGTGCTGTGAGGGTGGCCGCGCGTTCCCCCGGGACAACCGCCCCAACCGCAGCCGCCAATGCACTGAGACTCAGTGAATACAGGTAGAGCAGATTGAACACGACGTAGCTCGGTATACCAACGCAAAACGCCATCGCAAATGTCACAAAAAGAGATGCAATAGTGGCAACGATAACGGCTGTGACAAATTTACTAAGTAATATCGCCGCAGGATTTGTCCCGATGAGAATGAGGTACTTTCGTTGCCACGTCTCCCGCTCGCGCGCAATGGATTGCACAGTGGCCGCAAATGGAAAGTAGTACGCAATGGCAAGCACCAACCCCAGAAAGTGACCTCCCGTTAGAAAGAACAACTCTTGATAATACCCAGTCGTGGGAAACGCCTGAGCCACCACACTGCTTACAAGAGTTTTGTAGACATCATGCACCTCACGGCAGTAGTGAGTGGCGGCAGGAACAGTCTCCCGCACAGCCTCGTTAGAAAATAAATCTGGCAGGATGTCCTTCACAAATTGTGTGGTCTTGCACCTCAAGCTAAGAAGAATTGAGTTCTCGTAAAGGCATGCGTATGGAATGACCTCCTTCCCGCCAGACTTACCCCACGGACAGATGGATTCATACTCGTCCTCACACGGTAAAAAGGAAGCAAAAACCCTACGACACTCCTCCGAAAGAGGCTCCGCCGTTTGGCGTACAAGCTTAATACAGTCATTGAGGACAGACCGCGAGTGAAATCCCGGACCGCACAGACGCATGAGATCAGCGTGGCAACTCAATACAGACTTCGTTTGCTTTACTTTTTGAAGGAAGCTGTCCTCGGTGCACGAGGGGGCGAGAGACTCTGCACATTCAGGTAATGCAGAGGGAACATCTCTGAGAAGCTGATAGGCGTCGCCTTTTCCACACGCAGTGGTGTTGGGAAGAGGACACTTCGTAACAAACTTCAGTGCAGTGTGGCACACCGACGACGTTTCTCCCCGCGCATCAACCTCCTCAAGGCACTTCAAGAAGGATTTTGTAGTGTTAGCATCCTCGCAAAATGCCCCCACCTCATACAGGCATGGGGCATAAATGGCATTCACACTCGTAAAGGGCCGTGGGTGGAGGGTTACAATGGGACCCTTCGCGGCGGCCTTCTCAACCAATTCACGTTGATCCACATCCATTGGCTCTGCAAACATGTTTGCGGTGGCGTTATGCGCTGTCGGGGCGGCGCTGCAAACATAATCCACCAACGGAGTCAAGGACATATTTTGACGCGCTCGTGGGGGGGCGGCGAGGGAGGTAAAGTACGTATTGAGTTCATACTGAAGCGACAAGACACCGTTGTAGGCGTAGTTCGCGTAGTCCTTTCCCAGGCCCTGCGAAAAGGCCTCCACCGGCGCTTGAGTTTGCAGCAGCGTTTCATTGACAAAAATAGTGTAGCGAAATTCTGGAGGTTGCACCGTCAGACGGTCCAGGCGGACAAGCGCCCACAAGGCTTGGCCCTGCCACAAGCGCGGCCGTCGCAGCAACGAAGCAAACCTCGAGGCGTTGTCAAAGACGCAGCTGCTATTTTCCTCACCAGCAATATCGTAGTGACAAAGCACAGTGGCTGCAAAGGACTTGGTCGTCACGTTCAAGTATTCGATAAGCCTCTCTGCCGCCTCTGCGAGCTCTGCGTTGCCGCGCTCCGCAATGGTAAACGCCAGCTTTCCAAAATAGATAATAAATTGAATGAGTGGGTCGTCGTGCATCGTGTGCTTCATCCCCCGTTCTCCAATAGCAACCCGGGCAGCCTTCACCATAGAGGTGTATCCATCCAACGTTGGGACCTTAAAGGGGGATGCGGCGTAGCGGTTCGTCAGCAGGGCACGCGCCACCTCTTGCCGCAGCGTCGTCGCGTTCCACAACACCCCAGCAGGGTCGTTGTGGTAGTCGCCTTCCGCGACATCGCGCAGGGCGGCCAGCGTCAAGACGTAGTCTACGAAGAAAGAGGTCGTGTTAAGCGCGGCGAATACGCCGCGCCACTGCTTCACCGCTGCCACATCCTTCTCCCACTCAGGGGAGACGACGCCTTCGTTTGGGACGCCCTGGCGGAGTGTCACCTCCGGAAGACGTGAGTGGTGGAAGGGCTCAATCCACACGACGGGGCTCAGCCCGACGGCGTAGGCCAGGACAAGGATCAGAAGCGCAGGCGTCAGCAGCTCCACGGTCGCCTTCCACGGACGGCGGGCGCGCTCAAGGTACTCCTTCCACAGTAGCGCGGAGAGCTGGCAAAAAAACAGCCCCACACAACGCCCGCGGCCGCCCCGCCCACTCTCTCGCAGCCCGTCGGAGCCGTAGGGGGAATCCTCCGGAGTTGCCGCACGAAGGTCGCCGTCCAACATCTCGGCGTCGCCAAAAACATAAATATCCCCCACGTGAAAGCACCAACAACAACAAAGAAGCTACAGCGCAAAGAAGCCGAAAGACATTTACGCATTTAAGCAAACAAACCGCCGTTAGATGAAGGAGAGAGCGTAAGCCTCGAGCAGCAGTTTCACCCCTCCCCTCTCTCCCCGCCCAACTCGCAAGCAAGAGTGCTCATACCAGTAACGCCATGGCAAAAGCCGTCACACAGATTAGAAACATATATGTATAATAATAACAAAACGCCCCTGTTCTTCAAACTCGCCGAGGTCAGGGTGGTGGTGGGGGGGAAATGCTCCCAAGAAAACCGCGAAAGGCTAGTTCTGTTCTCCAAATTTACACCCACATACACACACACACACACAGGGAGAGAGAAAGAGTCACGACACCAAATCCGCCCCAGCATGTACGGAAAAGAGAAGGTGGCGAGGCGTCTGCAGTTAGGCAATCATGCCACACAGAGCCACGAGAATGACGCAAACGGGATACACCCGGCGCAACAATAATGAGATGCCCCCAGTGAAGGCGTAGAGTCCAGCATAGCACACCGAAAGCAAAGGAGGCCAATATTCACGCAGCAGAATACGAATAGCACTCCTTTCCTTTTCCCTCTCTCGCTCGCGTTGGCTTTGTTGGGAGTGTCTTTTTCCTGCCTCCATTGATTTCCAACGCTGCTCAGCTACAATTGCTTCAGGGCTCAAGAGACAGGCATCGTCGGGGTCCCCCAAACCCCACCAAAGGTCCTCTTCTGACGCTGAGCTCAATTCTTCGTCCGACGTGGTATCTTCTTCACTGCAGTCGTCTTCGTGCATACTAGTTTCACTCGGACGCAATGGAATAAGGCGGAAAATCGTTCTGCAAGCAAGCAATAACATCAGCATCGACGCCAGCAAGGATGCAAGTGCCACCCCTTGGCAGTATTCCCATTCCGTGTTGCTCACGGACCCGCCTTCCTCGATGCCCCGCTGCGCGGCGCCTGGAGCACCAGTGGTGCCACGAGGCGCAGTGGACGAGGCAAAAGACGTCGTGGGAAGCTGCCAATCCGCACAGGTGCGATGCGCGTCCCCGACTTGCCCCACGCAGAGGAATGAAAGGCGGAGCTGATTCACACACGCGCCAAAGCTTCCATCGGGAAGCGGCAGCATGTGTCGTCGCCACAGCACTCGCGAAGGGAGAAAGATGTAGGAGAGGATGCGATGAACCAAGTCAAACAGGGCCCAAGACGCCACGGACAAATGCAGCTGCTGCACCCACCACAATGGCAATAATGCCGCCTCTTTTTCACCGGCCGTGGGCGCTCTTGTGCCACGCACGGCGGGCCGCGCCACCCCAAAAACAACAAACGACGCGCCCAGCAATAACGTCCACGCCGTCAAAAATGTGAGGGAGGGAGGCGGCCCTGCATCCGTGAAGAAAACTGGAACCTCCGTCAACGGCATTGCCCCATCCACTATGAAAGCAATACAGTTGAGAGTAATAGCAAGGGTAAAGAAAGTGTGGCTTTAAAAGTATACAACGATAAGAGATAGCAACCCCAAAGAACAAAAAACTGAGAAACGAAGTAAAAGTAAATAAAAGCATATAGAAATGCTTCACAGTGCTAGCGATAAACGGAGTCAACTCCTCCTCTTCTTCACACCATTGCTCCTACCTCCTCGCTGCGTTGCAGAGACTACATCTGCAAACTGTTTCGCTAAAGCTGCCTAAAATGGTTTCCTGCGTGCACAAACAGGGAACGTTAGGGAAGCAGAAACGAAGCAGTTCATCAAGTGTGACACGACCCTTCTGACGCACATGGAATCTCTCAATCCCAAGAAGCAGCGGCACGTTCAGACGTATCCGGTTAGCAAGAATCCACACAGGAGTTCCTTTAAAAAACCCTTGACGCATATCAGTCTCAATGGCGCTGCCGTAAGCAAGCGCAGGGTTTGGATTGAACCCCAAAGAGGGTGCTGTGACGGCCGTGGCAGGGGCAACGGTAAAACTTGAATGCATAGTGCCCTGCATGCGTTCATTATTCTTATAGGCAGCACACAACTTAATGCGATAGGCGACCTCCGCCTGAGCGAAGTCTTCGATCAACAAATAATTACTGGAGTCCGCGGATGGATGCGCATAGCGGTCAAAATCAACCCGTATGGCGTCCAAAATGTCACTGTCAACCTCCTCCATCTCATACTGCTCTAAGACCACACGTAAAATATTCGGATACCACACCGCTAACACATCAATAAAGTACGGTGGGTCATGCAGCCGAGAGGCAGCGGCGTAGTCGGCGGCTGTAAACTTCTCCCCGCCGATGCGGAACCCGGTGGACTCTAGATCTCGAAAGTGCAACGCTGGCCGATGGCCTTCCGTCCCGCTTGACGGGAGTGCGTCACCACAGACGTGGTAATAACCCATGCCATCGGCATTCTCAACGCCGTTAAGGTACCCCCTCAGAGAAAAAAGATCAAACGGTGAGATAAACTCCTGCATCATGCGGGCAATGACATGTGGCGAGACCTTTGGATACCAGGCACAGACAATATCAAGCAACTCCACACTTTCCTTCTCATCCGAGTCAAACTTACGTAGCATTTCCATATTGCTTTCAGGCCATACAGCACGGAGCTCCCTCATTGGAAGCACTCCGCACCCCACTACGTCCAAAGCCTCAAAGCCTAGCTTTAGCTGCATAAAGTGTTCAAAGGGGAGATTCAGCGTTCCCTCCTTTACCGTCCAATTAATGATGTCCACAGGCGACAAATAACCTGTTGTTCGAAACGGAATAAAAGAAACTGGTTTCCTTGTACGAAGAGCCTTTGGTATCAACCTTGGAGTGCCGACAAGTTTGTCGTCCCGCCACTGGGTCTCATACTGAATCTCCCTCCCGTTTACCGTTTGAGTCGTCACACCACGTCCGTGTCGCTTGGCTTGCTCAAATGTACAGCCAAAAGTATCCCCATTCGCATAAAAAATAACTCCTCTCCCGTGGCGTTTACCGTTTTGCCACCCACCCTCGTAACGATAAGCATTTTGTTTGGGGCTGTACATCACAACACCTTCCCCTTCAGGGAGACCATTCGCATAGTTTGCGTCAATGGCCGCCCCACATGCAAATACTTCGTAGCCACTTCCCTCTCGTACGTCGTCACACCATTCGCCCGTGTATTTGTATCCGTTGGCGCTAGTGATACAACCTGTGCCATGGCGCTTACTGTGGCGCCAGTTTCCCTCATAATAAGCACCATTGGGATAACTAAGCACCCCGTGCCCTTGCCGCACGGCACCACGAGGATCTGCCTGATCCTCCATCTCTTTAATCCGCCTCAGCTGACCCTCGTAGATGTACTCACTAAATCCGCGTGCATACGGTGTGTTGGCAAACAACTGGGACTCATTCAGGCTCAGCGGGTGCTTCACCCCGCGGGAGAGACGAACTGCCATTTTCTTGTCACCTGACGGAACCTTGGCGGGGGCAAGCCACATTAACGTGCCCTCCTGCAAATTGTCCCTTTTGAGGGTGCGATGCCGTTCATGTGGGGTGGTGTCTCCCGCTGAAGTCTCCCGCTCTATTTGGCGCCTCACGCGCTCTATGACGCCCCCACAAAACGTCATGACGGCCGGCCGTCGCTAACGCCCCTTCTTTCTTCAAATGAACCCCCTCCGCACTTTTCCAGAGCAACAACAACAACAGAGTAGCGACAAGTGGAAGCGAATTTGCATAATACGCGCGCGTGTGTGTGTGGGCTATGTACAGATATATATATATGTGTATTACATATATATATATTATATAAAGAGGAGTCAAGGACCACGACGATTGGTCTCAGCTACATTCACAGGGGGTGAGCAGAAACATGGAAGAAGAATACAGCCACACGCACACACTCACACTCACGCCAACTACACGTAGATGGACACAGGCCCGTTACAATCATAGGGGAAAAGTAAGGAACACAACCTACGCTAAAGTTAAATACATGACTCAACTGGAACACAAACACGCTCAACGCGCAATCACTATTCCACATCAGAGGAAAGGTGGAGTTGTGTGTAAGTGCGTGTGCCAGAGGAAAAACTAATCAGAATAAAAAAAACATGCCCCTATGCAACAACTATTATGAGCGGAAGAAGCGCCCCTTCCAAAAAAGTACGCAGTGCTTCCTTGTCGCACCTTGAGGCGTCAATCGTCCCTTTGGAAGCCACAACAGGAGGCAGGCCCCTATGTTCACGGGCAAGCCACAACAACTCGCTCCACGCAAGGGAAGAAATCCGGAACGAGCCAACAACTTTCCATGCGTCATCCGCATTACTTTTACCTTCAGGCTCGATTAGCTTATTCCTGTTGTTTTTGTCCGAATTCAACCCCTCAGAAGTAAAGTCGACGTTTTTCAGTAAAAAAGCCTCCATCTTCTTTACATCTCTGACCTTGTTGGCATCTAAAAACGGGCACTGTTCATGCAGTGCCCGCAGAAACGGAACCGACGAGTAGCACTCAGGTGGCTGTCCCAACTTAACGCACGCCTTGACAGACCCCAGTTGGGCCGTGAGGTCCCCACGGATCCACTTGAGTGCCAGTTTATGCACCACTTCATCACTTGCGGCTCGCGACGTCTCGTGGATGAAAAAAGTAACAAAGCCAAACTTTCTTTCAAGTCGCTCCTTGAATATTTGAAGTTGATGTGGGACAATGCGACACCCGACGGCCTCCAGCTCCTTCACCGTGTCGCTCTCCGGTCTTGGCACCACCATTGGCGCCAACTCGGACACCGCCAGATCCAACGGGACATCGGAAATCACGCAATGAATGTAGTGAATGGCCGTTTCAACATCAAAGTTCAAAGACTCAAGCGCGGCCATTGTTAACTCACTAAAGAATCAGGAAATAGGAAGAAAAACAAAATAAAATAAAACACCGAACATGAGGAGAGGATAGAAAAGGGAGGCAGCAGTAGTCAACATCCTTGCAGCGTCAATAGGCCTTGATATGTGCGGGTACAACTTCAAAGGGATGATAGGAGAATAAGTAAGATTCATCGACTTCATGGCGTAGAATGAGTGCATAGTGCGCATGCATGCCAGCGAAGTAAAGCCAATGAGGGGCACGCTTACGCAGAGGTTAAAGGGAGATGTGCTCTAGTTCGGTTCCCCCCCCCCACCCCCCGCGTCTATTTAAGCAGTCCAGAAAAACAAGGATTTCACTTCACTGTTCATCGATTCCATCGCTGTTGTTGTTGTTGTTATTTTATTCTCAAGGTCAAGCAGCCCCAATTCTAGATGAGATCTCATCTTTCACCCTCCGTCACCATCGCCGCCTACGCCGGGTGGCACACCACGCGTTCACAACACTCACAGTATTCTTGATGCCCGTGACATCGATACCGCGTCCCTTCATGTCCTCGTAGATCTCCATTACCACGGCGTTTGGGTCACGGCCTCGCGGTGCATGATAGTTGGCAACCTCCAGCAGTATTTGATATAATCGACGCGTCCCTTTGACACGTCGCTCCATCGCCTCATCGTAGAGCGCCCACAGAACTTGCCAATCTTGCCGGTATTTGCAGTGGGAAACCAATATTTCGTACGTGCGCCCATTGGGAGGAACTCGCCAGTGTGGCGGTAGAAGTTCCACCTCATTTTCATCGCCCCCGTTACTCTTTTCCTTGTTGCCTGCTTCTACGCGAGCAGGTGTAGAGACAACGGCGTTTGCTAAGGACAACGGTGCCCCACGGAACTCAAGAAGCAACTCCTGAAACTTTTTGTCCGCTGCTTCATCTCCACGAGAGAGTTGCAGCATTTCATTGTAGACATCGGCCGTGCGCTCGTTTTCAGGACATGCCTCAAACCATTGGCAAGCGCGTTCAAACCTTTGGCTTCGGTGAGCATCGTATTCCTCCTTTGAGGCACTGACGGCATCCGTCTTGTCTTGAGCCGTCAAACAATACTGCGGTTGCCGTAGGGAGGCAATGAGTGCCGCAAAAGCCTCTCCGTCACGTGGTACCTGCAATTTATCCATCATCTGCAGCACCCGAGCAGTGGATTCCTCCGAGAGGCACCGCCGCAGCAGGCCACTAAAGTCCCCTACTTTGAGTCCTTCGCCATTCAGGGCACCAACGTCAGCCTCATCCTCGCCCTTTTCCTTACCCCGCTTCACTAATTCAGCAAGATGCGCCGCACGGGTGAGTTGTCTATTGCGTCCATCCAATGAAAGGCCCTTCTTTTTCGCCCATTCTTCCAATTCAAGTACAAATGTCGTGCGAAAGGCCTTTAGTCGATCCTCCGTTTGTCCATGGCTCTCTTTGAGGGGAGAGACGATGTCTGGTAACGTCTCCCTTCTACCCAGTGTCATGCATTGATTTAGCGTCTGTGAATTCATGCGAAGCTCAACAAACCCAATGCGCTTCATCACATCCCACACTCGTTCAGCCTCTGCTACACGGTGTTTACCAAGCAACAGCTTCAGTAGTAGGTAGAAATGACCCCCACTCCACCGCAAGACCCCCGGATGCCTGGAGGAGCTGCTAGAAGCGAAACCTGGAGGCGTGGTAGCGTTAATGCGACGCAGCGTCTCAAGTATGTCGCTCTCTTCACTTGCAGCACCCGCAGCAGCAGGCATGGAGGTTTGTACAGCTTTGCAACTTGTCTCTACAGCTGTTTCAAAAAGATGCATTGCCTTCACCCAGTTTCCGGCCAAGAGACAGTCACGCAACGCATCCATGAGCCCGTAACGAGCCCCTTCCGCCTTGCGTTGCTCTCTCACCACGGCGAATGAGTTCGTGGTGTGGGCCTCCCTGGCATTCGCGATCCCACGAAACATCTGGCGCTCCATCTGTGTCGAACCGTCATCGCCAACGCGCTCGGCAGCCGCTGCAGCGCTTGCTGTCGGAGACGAAGATGGGGCGCTGAGAGGGGCCTCCTCCTCTCTGCCAGGAAGTATTTCCTTCGACCGCAGTCCATCTCCCATTAACGTCTCTTTTCGCACTCGTTCCTTCGTCACTGCGGCGCGAGTGGCCTTCACCATCGCGTCAAAGTCCATCTCATGGAGGTTAAGGGCAAGGTCCAACTTGCCCTGGTCGATACCAAAGGACGTCGTTCCTTTTTTGAAAACCCCCGGCGGGGGAGGCGGCGTGTCAGTGCCGCTTCTTGCCGTTGAACATCGCCGCAGCGCAACGCTCAGGGCAAACCTGCGAGTCGGTTCCGCAAACCAACGCCGCATATGAACCTCAACTCCAGTGAACAGGTGCTCCCTTCTCAATGTTGCTGTGATTCTTTTTGTTTTGTTTTTTTTCCCCCTATGTGTGTGTGTCGTTCTTTGTCCCCTATTCCTTCCCCCGCCCCGCACTCACCTGTGTGCGTGGATGGCGCGGCGCAGAGGCAGTTGGCGTTGCGGTCGCAAATGAAAGCAGTGAGGTGGGGGGAGACGACGAAACAAAAAAAAAGTGATGGAAATGGAATGAAGAAGAGTAACTTCTCCCCCAGTGAACGAAATCACGGTCTCCAGCAACCAAGAGCGAGGGGCACAAGAGAACGCTGCCCCCTGCTAGGGCAACGCCGCAAATGCAAAAAAAAAAGCAGAGTTATCGCCTTCGCTCTCTCGCTCATCTACAGCGCAAGGCCGTCGCAGATTTTTTTTGATCATTTTCTACTCGAACGCAACACAGGCACTGCGAGTGGAAGCGGTGGGAGAGAAACAAACGGGTAGAAGCGTGTGTACACTGTGAATAAAAGCCTGCTCGCATTTCTTCTTTTTTTTTCTAGGTATATATATTATTAATTTATATATATTTTTCTTTCCTCTTCAACGTATTGCTTCTAAATCAGCTCTAAGCAAAAGGTACAATGTGATTTATAAAATGTGTAGTGTCTAGCGAAAAAAAAAAGTGCCCAAAAAGGGAGGGTGCGTGGTGAAGAAGTGGTCTACTTACGTCTGTTCTGTCGCCCTGACGAACGACGTCGGCGGCGGACAATCTGCTCGCGGTTTCTTCGCGACATGGCCTTCCTCAACGACGCACGCTTTGAGGCCACCTTCTTCTTGTGACCGGAGTGCGACTGTGATGGGCGCCGATCGACGTTCCGTTGCACTGCCTCCGTTGCCCTCCCCGAAGACGAGGCAACTGTCGATTTCGCCGCCGCAGTTGACTCCGCAAGCGGAACGACGACGTCTTGCTCAGTAACGCTCAGCCGCCTCACGTGGGCTTCTGACCCCACCAGCACAACTCCTGAAGCGGATTTTTTTGCAGCCTTGTTTGCCTTCTTTGCGCCTCTTCTTCGCCCTTTCTTCGCACTTTGCCTCGTGGCGTCGCGCAGATAGCGCTCCCAGTATGTGTAGTCGTAGTAATGCCTGCGTGGACGTGCGGCGACACGCTGTGAGATGCATGAGGTGTCCGTTAGCGCTTCAGAAAGCTGGCCACTTCCACGGTGCAGTGACGGGGTTTGCGTGGCCGCCTCTCCGGTGACGAGGTGCTCCACCTCCTTCCGAGCATCTGGTGAGCAACACTCCATGAGTCGCTCCACCATTGACCGTCGGCTGCCAGTGGAGCGTGAGCGACAGCGTGCAGACGTGCACGGCGGGGTTGCCTCCACCGCACGTTCGTCAGCCGGACACCGTTTTTCACATTCAGGTGCATCCGCAGCGAGGCCCTCGTTGAAGTTGAACGTCTCCGCCAGGGATGTGAGGGGAGACGGCTTGCGGTGATCCTCCCTCGGGCTCTGTGAGAGTGTCAGAGAAACCTTTGCCTGTGATAACTGTATGGGCGTCCGAACCTGCGAGCGGAGCGTCACCGGACGTGGCAGTGGAGAACGTTCAAGAGAGAGCAACGTCGTATTATTCGCTAGTGGAGGAGTCGCTGAGAGGTTGGAATCGGGCGCGTTCAGCTGGGGCTTTGGTGCGGGGGAGCATCTTTTTGGATGCTCCGACGGCGGTGGGGTGCGAGGTTCCTGAATCCGCGGCGTATGCGCTAGGGGCAGTTCACCCGTCACCAAGACCAAACTGCCACGGCCTTCCTCGCTGCGGCGGTCGCCAAGGCGACGCGGGGCACGTGGGAAGTTGGAGGGAACCGCCATCTCCAGGCGCGTTGCCTCCAGCAGCCGATACGCCTCCGGCAGCTCCACCCCAGGTGTGGAGGGGAAACTGCGGCAATCGTAAAACGGCTGGGAAAAGGATTCGCTCTCCGCATGGGGAGGAGGAACAGGCGGCGCAACCTCCTCCGCCGTGAGCCTCGCAAGAGGAACCTGCTCTTTGTCTTCCTTCTGAGAGGCATCGTGGCTGTCAAAGTCAAGCTTACGAGCCTCACTTGCTTCCACGTTCCGTTCGGGGGATTCCGTCGTGGTAGAACTGCACTCGTACGCATGCGAGCTTTGTGCCGAGAAGGCGACTGGTTCCTTCGCCACGGCCACGTCCATCGCCACGAAAGCAGCCACGGCGCATGAGGCAGGCTGAGAAGCTTCTCCTTGAGAGGCAGCCCGAACACCTGGAGCAGTAGCGACAGCAACATCCTCACACAGCTTCTTCCTCGTTTCCTCTTCTTCTTCCTCCTCCTCTTTCTCTTCCTCATCCGCCCTCTCACTGGTATCAACGGGTGTGGCTGAACGAACTCCGGAGGCCATTTCCCTTTCTCGTGAGTGATGCGACAAGGACACCGCGGCTGCAGAAGAAACATCTGAGACCACCTCCGATTCTGCGGAGTCGCCAAGTGTAGCTGCGGGATCCTCATCCCTCCTCACCACATCCTCCGTCGCCCGCAGTTCTTCCCCCTGCGCAGTGTGAGGGAAGGGCGGGAGATGTGGGGGCGTGAGCACAATGTGACTCGCGGCATCACTGGAGCGGTGCTGCGGCGCACGAGGCAGGCGAAACTCACTCACGCGAAAAGGAGCGGGCTCCCCCTCCTCCTCCTCCTCGGCTGCCTCCTGTGAGACCTTCCCCACCTCTCCGCCCTCCACAGTCTCAGTCTGCGGGGGCGCAACGGGACTGATTGAGAACGCCACCTCCTCCGCCTTGTCCACATGTGTGTTGGGAGGGGTGAAGCCCAGCATCGCACTTTCGTCTTCATCCGCTCTCATTGTGGGAAGGGGCAGTGGTGGGGGCGTACGTGAGGCTGACCGCTTCAGGGGTGAAGCAGTTCTCTTTGACGGAGAACCGCTGCACATAAACGGCGCCCTGCGCTCCTCCATCGCTGCGTCATGCGTTCGCGGGTGCGACATCCGCGCAAGTTTTATGGCCTTCTCCGTCTGTGACGTGGAACGTGAGCGCTTCAGCGGCGGACGCGCCGGATGTGGCTCCGCCGTTCGCGCCGCAGGGACTGGGGACGTCACACGCGAGGCAGTTGCGGAGACGCCGCGGTACGACTTGGAACGTGGGAGTGACGGCCGCCGCGTCGTCGGCTTTGCGCCCGGCGGAAGGGGCAAGCGACGGCTGCGCTCGCGGCTCAGCGGGCGTGAGCGTGGCTCGGAGTTCACCATCGGTGCCGAGCGAGAGGACTTCTTCTCGGCCTCGGCCTCGGCCTCGGCCGAGGCGTCGAGGGACACAAAGCGTGGCGCAGGGGAAACGCTCTTGCTGCTGCTCCGCCGCAGTGAGCTGGCGGTGCCGAAGTGCATCACGGGCGGCTTCGCCGACTCCCTGCGCATCAACTCTAGGCGCCGCCGCATGTTCTCTTCTCTGTGGAGGTGCTGCGAGCGGGTCTCCCTGAGGAAGTGCCGCGGCGCCTGCTTCTCGAACATCGTCGACCGCTGCGGCATAAGCACAAGGCAAGCACGTGCGTCTCTTCTCACGTACTCCCGACAGCAAAGCGGGCGGGAGGGAAGGAACGGGAAAAGGCCGCAGTGAGGGACGAGCCACACAAAGACACACACACAGGCTCACACCACGCCTGTGGTGAGGAGCCAACCAGCACAAAGGACAGTAGGCAGAAGTAGTTCAAAGCAAAAATAAGAGATAACAATAAATCACTAAAACGAGAAGGAAGAAGAAAAAAAAATCAACATGTTATTCCCGAAAATGCAGATGACTTCAGTTATGCAAAATACACGAAATACTCATACAGAACGAGGGTCAACACAGAGCGTGGCACCGTCTGCAGTAGCGAAGGCCCAATGCCACGGTACACACCTCGCCAGCCATCGTTGTGCAAAATAAGCGATAGAGACTGGAGAAAAGAGACGTACCTCAGGGACCCACACCGGCTTCTGTGGTCCTGCAAGCGTGTCTTGATCACATAGAGGGGCTGAGACGCCAATGTGACAAACGTCTTCGCAAGGGTGGAGCACACACAAATTTCAAATGTGTTGAGAGTGGTGTGCGACGTACTCCAAAGACGGTAGGACTTAAGCGCTTCGTATACGGGAAAGTTAAGCGAGTTCGGCAGCCCAAGAAGGATTTGCGCGGACAAACCACGCCAGAGTGAAAAGAAGCCAGTACTACGAACGGTGAACGTCAACCCACGCGTAAAAGAAAGATAATTCCCCGTGCCACTTTTCGGATGAGACGCCGAAACCTCCTCCAGTTGCATACGGGTTTTAAGCAGCCAAATAGGATTACAGAGCAGCGCCGAGCAGGTGCTGGCAAGAGCAGAAAAAAGTAAACTATGGAGGAAGTCGTCCACTCTTCCCCGTGAATCTTGTGTCTTGACGGCATTGGTGAAATTGCGGAGCGAGCGGTAGGTGTACATGTATATTCCCCAGGCGGTCACAGAGCCTAAGACAGCCACGTGGCAACCACGGAATAAAGCACGTGGCCCCTCCTCACGGTATATAGTGGCCAACGCCCTTCTGATGGAGTGATACGTCTGTCCATTGTGCTGTCGCTGAACCGTGCCGTCCTGCGACATGAATCGCATCTTCACAACATCAATTGGGTACAATATGGTGGTACTTAGCGCCGTCGCGGCTTGAGTTGCGACTGTGTGCCTCAAAGCTGAGGTTTGCACGTGCATCCGCTGCTTTCCCTCTTCTTTCTTCCACGAGGCCATTTAGCCGCAACGCCGTTCCTCAGAACTGTGAAAATGACAAATCCCAAAGTCACCCTTGCGTGTGTGTGTGTGTGTGGTGGGGGGGGGGGGGGAGGAGCATTGA